ATGAATAGAGATCGCTCTTACCACAGAAATGCACGCTTCAAACAAAACAGTCAATGAAGACGAAGAAGAGGATGATGTGTTCTCCCGGCGCCTATTTATACTATAGTCACACCGGTAGTGATGTCATAGCTGTCGCCGGCCAACGTGTTGTTGGTGTTTTTTCAATGTATGCTTCAGACACAGGTCACGACGAGGCATTCCCCATAGCGACCCCTAGAGGACGCAGTTCGAAGTTCCCATGAAAGGGAAATGTTTTTGTTTCGTTCTATCTATCATTTCACACACTGTTTATTCTCAGCCTGTGAAAATGGATAGTGACCTGTTTATCACTGTATGAAGAAAAAAACTTCTGTAGGCTGCAATGAAAAGTGAAAAGGTTTTGTTTAGGCCTCCAGACAAAACAGTAATGATGACTGAAAGACAAAGTTCACAATATCTGTGCAACATGAAAGAAGCAAGATGGTTTCAAACATTTTAAAACTTGTGCAAGTACAAGGCTAACCATACTGTATATTAGCATCGCTAATAGCATAGTTATAGAATCCGTTGAACTGAGAGATTTTGCATTTAGCATTTTTCTATACTTTTTAGATATGTCCCTACTATTTCATCTGAATACTTAAAATAGCCTTGATATCTGGATATCAAGTGTCAATAAAGAAGAGAGAAAAATTCTAAAGCATTGCTATTAAATCAGAGTGCCAGGATATTTTCAAGGTCATGGCCAGCCTCTTACAAAAAAAATATAAAAATGAAAACAGACAGGAGGGCTTTTCAAAGAAAATATAAAGGCAATATGACCCTCACATTTCAGAATTAGTACACTCAGTTCGTCAGTACATGTATTGTATACTTAGTAATTTTAAATCATCTATTTGAGACAGCATTGTTTTTGTTTGTTATAAATAAAATATATTATATATTAAAAATACTCATGCACACATCTTTTTCATTTTTTCCCCTCTTTCCAGGTGACTATGTGGTGATGACTGTATATTTTGACCTAAGCAGAAGAATGGGATACTTCACAATTCAGACCTACATCCCCTGCATACTTACTGTGGTTCTCTCTTGGGTCTCCTTTTGGATCAAAAAAGATGCAACTCCAGCCAGAACAGCACTAGGTACATGCAGTAAATACAGATACCTGATACTTGTGTGATTCATTCATGTGCAACTTGATGTTTGGGTTCTTTGTCTTTAAATAGGCAGTATTAAATACACTGTTTGTGAAGAAAATTGTGGTATTTAAAGGAATAGTTCACCCAAAAATGAAAATGTACCCTCATGTCATCTAAGTAGATGAGTTTTTTCTTCATTGGAAATAGATTTGGAGAAATTTAGCATTACATCTCTCGTTCAACAGTGGATCCTCTGCTCTGGGAGTCCAAACAGTTGATAAAATATCACAGTAATCCACAAGTAATCCAAACAACTCAGTTATCAGTTACCATCTTGTGAAGCAAAAAACTCTGTGTTACAAGTAAAATCAGCTGTTTGAACTCTCATTCTGACAGCACCCATTCACTGCAGAGGATTCATTGGTGAGCATGTGATGTAATGTTAAATTTCTCTAAATCTTTTCTGAAGAAGAAACAAACTCATTTGTATCTTGGATGACCTGAAGGTGAGCAAATAAAAATTTTTGGGTGAACTATTCATTTAATAAACTGTTTGTTTTATTCATTAACCAAGTTCACATGTTATGAGAATGAAAGGCAGTTAAAGTAAAGTATTTGTCTTTATATTTTATTACATATGCATTTTTATAAAAGTAAAATCTGTGTTTTCTTTTAAGTGTGTGTATTTGTTCACTTTCTTTCATGTTTCATGAAAGCGCTTCATGTGCTTTTTTGTTGGCTTTACTCATTTCTTTATAGTTTCCTGCTTTGATTAAGTCCATGTCCTGTCCTGGTAAATGTCCCTTTTGTCAAGGTAATTTTTCTTTTTTCATTTTTCATCTTTTTTTATCAGCTAACTTTAGTTATGCCTGTAGTTTTTCTTTTATTTTAGTGGCTTTGTTTAGACCATGTTATTTATTTTCATTTATCCTCATATTGTTCAATGAGAGATCGGCATGTAAAGTATCATGCAACATAAATTTGAAAGGCTTTTAATCTGTCTCATGATGTAGCTTGATTAGCTCGCCACTCTTAGTCTGTCTTGTTTGATTACCTCTGAACACACCACAGATCAGTGTGGCCTGAGATGGTGTTTCCACTGAGTATTCTCAAGCTAACAAGCAGGATCAGTGACGGTCAAAAAAACAGGATCCTAGATTGACATAAATTGGCTATCTTACACCGATCCTATAGCTAAATGCTAAGAAAACTGGAAGAAAAGGCCAGAGCCCTGCACAATCTATGTTTGGAAGAAAAGAAATAAACTGGCAACATACTCTGAGAAGAAAAAGAAGGATGAATGCAATTAATCTGTCTGACAAAAGAAGTCATTACACCTTCAGTGGAAAGAAAGGGAGTAGGAGAAAGAGTAGAGATTTGCTTTACAGGCGTCCAGTTGATCGATGAAGTTCAGAGAGAAAGGCAGCTGAGATAAAATGTGGGAGAGAGAGAGGGCTTGGGCTCACAGCCGTGGAAATGTCAGGTTAGAAAAGGATGTGACCAAGATAGAACCCAGAAGAATAGGGAGGGTTCAAATATAGGGTGTGGACAGTCTGTCTTTTGGAGCAACTTTTTGTTGCCAAACCTGAAAATGCCTAACCTGAAAATTTCATTTGGTAACTATAATGTACTATAAATTCACTGCTTTCGTTCATAGTCAATACATGGCCAAAAAGTATGCGGACACCCAAACAGTACACTCTAATGTGCTTTTTTATTTTGAAACCATGGGCATACACTCTTAAAAATAAAGGTTCCAAAAGGGAGTTTTCACAGCGATGCCATAGAAGAACCAGTTTTGGTTCCCCAAAGTACCTTTCAGTGAACAGTTCTTAAAAGAACATTTTTTTTCTTAGTGTGAAGAACATTTTAATAATCTAAAGAACCTTTTTCCACTGTAAAGAACCTTTTGTGGAATGAAAAGTTTCCATGGATGGTAAAGGTTCTTTGTGGAACCAATGATGCCAATAAAGAACCTTTATTTTTAAGAGTGTTGACGCGAGAAACAAATGAGGTTTGTGTTAGTTTCTTCTTTTCTTAAAGGGATAGTTCAATTTTCCTATCTGCTGGGAAGTCTTTCCAATATGTTGGAACATGGCTGTTGGGATTTGCTCCCATTCAGACGTGAGAGCACAGGTGAGATCAGGCACTGATGTTGGGCACAATCATTGTTCAAATTTTTCCCAGAGGTCTTGGTGTCACAGTGGTGTTCAGGTTTAGGCAGTCAGTTTCGTCTGTATTCCCTGCCTTGTGCATAGAGGCGTTAGGATGCCCATTAAAAAAAACTATTTGCTTAATACTGTATATACCTGTTAGTGGGTTTAACTAAAATAGTGAGACCTGTTAATTAAAAGAGAGCGTCCATGTAGTTTATATGTAGTGTGTACACTCTAAAAAATGCTGGGTTGTTTCAACCCAACATTGGGTTAAATATGGACTAACCCAACCGTTGGGTTAAATTTTTACATTAAATTTTTTAACCCAAAGTTGGGTTAGTCCATATTTGACCCAAAGTTGGGTGTAAAAGTGTAAAAGTTCTTATTTTTGCATATATGAAGTAATGAATTACAAATGTTGCTATATATTTAATATGTGTTTCACTGATCAGAAAAAAATGTGTGTGTGTACTGTATATGCAGGAAGCTGTATATGATGTCACATCACATGATGTTTCAAAACATCTTAGGGAAGTCACTAGTGTGTAGTCATTGGGAACTTCCACTATTCAAGTCTACGCGAATAGCTACAACATCTGTTTCACTGTGTGTGAAAATTCTGAAGTGGTGATTTGCGTAAAAGCATTGAGCTGGTGATGATGGTGACTTTTTACGGGAGTGTATAATTGCACA